GGCCAGCAGCTGCCAGTGCTGACGCTGACACTCCCCAGGCCTGATCGATGTCCACGTCCACCTCCGTGAGCCGGGTGGCACCCACAAGGAGGACTTTGCATCGGGCACGGCAGCCGCCCTGGCCGGGGGTGTCACTATGGTGTGTGCCATGCCCAACACCAGCCCTGCTGTCACCGATGCCACCTCTTTCGCCTTGGCACAGAAGGTGAGGAGCTGCTGCCAGCCTGGTGCTCACATCCCCTCCTCCTGTGCCAGCCATGCTGGGCTCACTGTCTGTGGTGGGCTCGTTGCTGGCGGCAGTACTGGTCCCACCACAGCACCCACTGCCTCTTGTCCTGCAGCTGGCTGAGGCTGGGGCCCGCTGCGATTTTGCTCTTTTCCTGGGGGCTTCCTTGGACAATGCTGGCACTCTGGGCCCCCTGGCTGGGGCAGCCGCCGGGCTCAAGATGTACCTGAACGACACCTTCTCCAGCCTGCGGATGGACGACGTGCTGCTGTGGATGGAGGTGAGCAGGAGGGCAGGGCTGGCACGGGGCAGGTCTGCTCCTGGCACCGGTGCCCACCAGCCCCGTTCCCGCAGCACCTGGAGCAGTGGCCGCGGCACCTGCCCATCGTGGCGCACGCGGAGCGGCAGACGGTGGCCGCCGTGCTGATGGTGGCCCAGCTGTACCAGCGCCCTGTCCACATCTGTCACGTGGCCCGCAGGGAGGAGGTGAGCGGGGCGAGCTCTGGGCTCCAGGGATGGAGCACGGGGCCCTGTGGGTTCCCCACTAACCGCGCCTGCCCCAGATCCTGCTCATCAAGGCGGCCAAGCAGAGGGGCATCCCGGTGACGTGCGAGGTGGCCCCGCACCACCTCTTCCTGAGCCAGGACGACCTGGGGCGCCTGGGCAAGGGCCGTGCAGCCGTGCGGCCGGAGCTGGGCACCCGCCAGGACGTGGAGGCGCTCTGGGAGAACATGGACATCATCGACTGCTTTGCCACTGACCACGGTCAGTCCCCAGGGATGGTGGCCGTGGGGCGGGGAAAGCGGTGGGGACGGCCCCGGTGACCAGCCCCATCCTGCAGCTCCCCACACGCTGGAGGAGAAGCAGGGGCAGGAGCCTCCCCCTGGGTACCCTGGCCTGGAGACCATGCTGCCGCTGCTGCTGACGGCTGTCTCCGAGGGGAGGCTCAGCGTGGAGGACATCGTCCAGCGCCTCTATGAGAACCCTCGCAAGATCTTCGGGCTCCCAGCGCAGGAGGACACCTATGTGGAGGTGTGTCCGTGCCCACCCGCCCCAGGTCCAGCCCCCACCCTTCTGCCTCTGACCCGCTGTCCTGGCAGGTGGACCTGGAGGAGGAATGGATCATCCCCAGCAGCACAGTCTTCTCCAAGGCCCGTTGGACCCCCTTTGAGGGCATGCAGGTCAAGGGGACAGTGCGGAGGGTCGTCCTGCGTGGGGAGGTTGCCTACATCGATGGGCAGGTGAGGTCCTGGGTCCTTTTCTTCCTGTATTGAGGGTGCCCCCATCACAGAGGGGGTCTCCCAGTGCTGACCCCATTTCCCTAACCCCATCCATGGCTGCAGGTGCTGGTGCCCCCTGGCTATGGGCAGGATGTGAAGAAGTGGACCTCAGGAGCTGCACTGCTGCCACATGGTGCCCCCACCAAGGAGACTGTGAAGGTACTGGGGGGTACACAGCTGGCAGGGGGTCCCTCTCTGCCCTAGCTCCAGCTTGGTCTCTGGTTTCAGACCCCCGAGCAGCCGCGGCACGTGGCTGGTGACGTGCTGCGTGGGCGAGCCCCCAGCCCGCGCCGGCCCGGCCCCGCGGGTGACGCACGCTTCCACCTGCCGCCCCGCATCCACCGGGCCTCGGACCCCGAGCTGCCAGGTAGGGGGGTGGGCGGGCAGCGGGCAGGGCACGCTGCCTGGGGGCCGGGTCTGGGACCGTGGCTGGGTGGCCCCGCTGACGCCAGCCCTTGTGTCCCGTTCAGCATTCCGGAGGCTGGGAGCCGCGCACCGCCCGGGCGCCCGAGGCACCGGTAATGTCGGGGGGGACTCACTACTGGCACCAACTGCAGCCCATGAGTGCATCCCCTCCCCCAGGTGCCCTGCAGGCCCCGGGCTGCCTGCGTGCCCACCATGGGCCCCTGCTGGCACCCAGCACCAGGACTGGGTGCTGTAGGACAGGGCACGGCCGTGCCGCCCGCTCCCCTGCTGCCCCAGCCTGCACGGCACCTCGGGGACCCCTCACCGCCAGTGTGAACTGGGGGGTGGCCAGTGGGAATTGCGGGGTGTGCAGGGAGAGGGTCGCAGCACAACGTGGGGCTCGGACTGCCTGTCTGGTTCACCATCACCCTGGTGTCAGGCCCATCTTGGTTTCACCTGGTGTGGCCAAGTGCCAGGAGGGCTGTGCCACACTGGCAGCACGCTGAGACTGGGGTGCTGCCTCTCCCCGTAACCCCTAACACCACTGCTCCCCTCTCCCACCCAGCTGAGGACGCTCGTGAGAAGGGCAGCAGGAAGGCAGCGGAACCAGGTGAGTGCAGCAGGGGCCCACGGTGGGGATCCAGCGTTTGTGGCTGGTGGCTGGGCTCCTCAGGACACCCCCGTGGGCTGACCGGCTACTCTCGGTGCCACAGATTCGGCGGTGGTCCAGGACAGCCACTTCCACCCGCTGGGCCCTGTCCCGCGCCAGGCGTCCCCGCAGCGTGCCCCCCACTTCCAGACCTCCCCGCTGCTGCACCCCCTGGTCGGGCAGCACGTCCTCTCCGTGCGGCAGTTCTCCAAGGAGCAGGTGCCCGGCCGGGCGGGCGGGGGGCCGTGGGTGCTGTGGTGCTTCCTGTGCCCCCGCTGAGCCCTGGTGCCACCTGTCCCCGCAGCTGTCCCACCTGTTCAACGTGGCACACACCCTGCGCATGCTGGTGCAGAAGGAGCGAAGCCTGGACATCCTCAAGGTGAGCCGTGCCCCGAGCACACGCCCGTCCCCTGGGCACCCCGAGGGAGCCCCGTTCCAGGCGGGGTGCCGGGCTCCCCGAGCTGACAGCCCGGCCCTGCAGGGGAAGGTGATGGCCAGCATGTTCTACGAGGTGAGCACGCGGACCAGCAGCTCCTTCGCAGCAGCCATGAGCCGGCTGGGCGGCTCCGTGCTGTCCTTCTCCGAGGCCACGTCCTCGGTGCAGAAGGGCGAGTCGCTGGCCGACTCCGTGCAGACCATGTGCTGCTACGCCGACGTGCTGGTGCTGCGGCACCCCCAGCCCGGCGCTGTCGAGGTGAGAGGGGCTGGGGGAAGCTGCCTCCTCTTGTGGAGGCACCGGGGACTCTGCCCCAAGGGCAGGGACGGTGGCTGCTCTACGGGCAGGGATGTGGTCCCCGGCTGGGCCGCGGTGGGCTCCTGCTGCCGTGGGGCCGTGGGAATTGTGTGCTGCCTGCGCTCACCTGCCCTGCCTTGCCGGTGCTCCCAGCTGGCCGCCAGGCACTGCCGCAAGCCGGTGATCAACGCCGGGGACGGGGTGGGCGAGCACCCCACGCAGGCGCTGCTGGACATCTTCACCATCCGCGAGGAGCTGGGCACAGTCAACGGCATGACGGTGAGCTGCGGGGGCCAGGCGGCACGGCCGGCTGCTCAGGGGGCTCTGAGACCCCCGAGGGGCCTGGGCAGGCTGGCTGACCGCTGTCCCCAGATCACCATGGTGGGTGACCTGAAGCACGGGCGCACGGTGCACTCCCTGGCGCGCCTGCTCACCCAGTACCGCGTCAACCTGCGCTACGTCACCCCTCCCGGGCTCCGCATGCCCCCCGACATCACCAGCTTCGTGGCCTCCCGGGGCATCCAGCAGGTGAGGAGCAGGGTGGGGGGCTGGCCCCCACTCTCTTTGGCCCCGTGTCCCCTCCCAAGCTCACGGTGCTGCCGCAGGAGGAGTTTGGGAGCATCGAGGAGGCGCTGCCGGACACAGACGTGCTCTACATGACGCGCATCCAGAAGGAGCGCTTCCAGCGGGCCGAGGAGTACGAGGCTGTGAGTGAGGGGAGCCTGGCTCCTGCTGCCCCCCGGGGCCTGGGCACGCCCTGCCCCAGCTCAGGGCTCCGTGTCCCCTCAGTGCTTCGGGCAGTTCATCCTCACACCCCACATCATGACCCGGGCCAAGGAGAGGATGGTGGTGATGCACCCCCTGCCCCGTGTCAACGAGATCAGGTGGGGACGGGTGGCTGCAGGGTGCTGGGGGGCTGCAGGGTGCTGGGGGACACGGGAGTTTGGAGGGAGTGTCTGGGGAGGTGTCTGGGAGAACGGGTAGGAAATATACAGGGCAGAAGGGACATGGGGGCTGTGGGAGGGCTCTGGGGCGGCTGGGGCAGTGGGGTCTCTGGGGCAGTGGGGTCTCTGGGGCAGTGGGGTCGCTGGGGCAGTGGGGTCTCTGGGGCAGTGGGGTCGCTGGGGCAGTGGGGTTGCTGGGACAGTGGTGTCCCTGGGGCAGTGGGGTCCCTGGGGAAGTGGTGCTGGGGTGGGGTCGCTGGGGCAGTGGGGTCGCTGGGGCAGTGGTGCTGGGGCAGTGGGGTCGCTGGTGCTGCTGGGGCACTGTCAGGGAGCTGCGGTGTGCTGGGGGTGTCTGGGAAGGCACCGGGGGTCAGGGCAGGAGCACTGCGGTGCGCTGGGCAGGGCTGGGGAGAGCTCGGAGCCACGGGCGCTGCAGCTGCTGCCGGGCTTGGGGGACAGGCTCCGCTGAGCAGTGCAGCCGGGTCCGGGGGTGTCACGACTGCCACGTGGGTCCGGTTCCAGGGGAGTCCCGAGGGTCCCGGGGGTGCCGGGGGTCACGGGACGAGGGCGGGCTCGGGGACCCCGGGGCGGGCTCGGGGGTCTCGGGGCGGTGCCCGCTGATGACGTCACCCCGCAGCGTGGAGGTGGACTCGGACCCGCGCGCCGCGTACTTCCGGCAGGCGGAGAACGGCATGTACATGCGGATGGCGCTGCTGGCCACGGTGCTGGGCCGCTACTGACCAATAAACGCTCTCGGTCGCGACACGACATCGCGCCGCGACACGCGTCACCGCGCCGCGACACGCGGGGCCATGGCGGCGCTCTGGAGGGGCTGCGGGCGGCTGCTGGCGCGGCGACCCGGGGCGGCGCAGGCGCTCACAGCCGGTAAGGGACGGGCCCGGCCCCCGCGGCGGCCGCGCCCTCAGACCCCGGCCCCGCACACAGCTCCCTTCGGAGCACAGCCCTGCCCTGCTCCGCACACAGCCCTGCCCTGCCCCGCACACAGCCGCACTCCCCGGCACTCAGATGCCCCGGCACAAGCCCCTCCTGGCCGCCCGTCCTTGCCACAGCTGCGGGCACAAGCCCCTCTCCCCCGCACGGCCCCTCGCCCCGCTGTGCCAGCACTGTCACCGTGCAGGAGGCAGGGCAGGGGCTCCCCAGTGCCTCAGGGGTCTGTCTTAGGGGGAAAAGGTGCTGCCATGCCCCGGGCTCAGCACGGACTCGTGTGTCACACCAGGGAGGGGCCCTGGCCCGCTCCTGCCTCAGGACATCTCTGTCAGGGCTCTGTGCTGGAGCTCCCAGCTCAGGACATCTCTGTCAGGGCTCTGTGCTGGAGCCAGAGTGCCCATGGGGACTGTAAGGAAGCACACCCCTCACACCCAGACCCCGGGGGACACTGTCCTGGGGCCCCCCTCACCTGGAGGGGATGGATGCTGAGCTGCAGTGCTGGGAATTCACAAGAGCTCAGCTCTTCCGTGTTTGCCAGCGCTCAGCAGTGAAGGCACAGAGGTGCTGCCTGAGGAGAGGGCTCTGCACAGGGCCTTGAATCTCCCAGCACTGCTGCTGCTTGCAGAGCTGTGAGGTGCCATGAATCTGCCCCGGGGCTGGCTCGAGCCTCTGCTGCTCCGAGGATTTGTAGCCCTGGGGCACCAGGCAGCTCTGCCCCTCTCTGCTCCCTCTCCCAGCGCACCTGGGGCTGTCTGGGTGGTGGCAGAGTGTGTCCTGCTTGTTCCATGTGTCCTCAGGGCTGTGCAGTGCCTGTGCTGCACGGGTGGGTGGGTGGGAGCTGGGGGGTCCCTGCGTGCTCCTTGCTGCACCTCCTGCTGCAGCCTCCCTGTCCTGCCCCTGCCCTCCTGCTCCCAGGAGCCCAGGATGCTGGGAAAGCACAGCCCCGGGCTCTGGGGGTGCCCTGCTGAGCTGGGGGCTCCCCTCACGGTGCAGTCCCTGGCCCTCAGCCCTGGAGGCAGCAGGGGGGTGGCACGGTGCCCCCCTGCCTGGCTGCTGGGGCGCTGCCAGGCCGCTTAGCTGTTCCTGCTGTTATTTTTATCGGATGTCATGGAGTCTATTGCTGGCAGCACGTCCTCCTGTGCCTGGCAGGAGCCCAGTGTGGAGCTGGGAGGGGCTGCCCAGGGCTGGCCCTGCCCTCGCCTCCCTGCCCACCGTGGCCCCGGGCTGGCTCCAGCCTCGGCTCTGCTCTGCCTGTTGCTGCTTCAGGGGGAGCTGGCGCTGCTGTGGCACTGCCCTGCCCTGCCCCAGGGCTCTGTCAGCCTGCAGGGCTGGGCACAGCCTCTGTGGGTGCTGAGCTGCTGCTGGATATGTCTCCACCAGCCCAGAAGTTTCTGCCCTGGGCTGGGCTCTCCCTGCTGGGCAGGTGCCCAGCTCCAGCCAGGGGGCACGAACGCTCCTGCTCTCCCCAGAGCTTCCACAAGTGATCCCATCATGGCCAGGCTCAGCCCCTCACCTGCTGCCTGTGCAGGGTCCATGCCAGGTCCATCCCAGCCTCCAGCCCTGCCTTCTCTTGCTGCTCCCAGGACCCCAGTGCTGCCAGCTGGGGCCAGGCCAGGGAGCTGCTGGCAGCTGGCCGTGCCCACTGTGCCCGGCCACGCTTGCTGGCCGAGCTGCAGTCCGAGGGCTCGGGTCAGGCAGGGCTTTGCCTCCTGCATCCTGGGCCCTGGGCCAGGCTGCCAGCAGGGCCTGGACACAGTGGGCAGTAGCACGTGCCTGCAGCCGTGACCCTGCTGTCCCTCTCTGCCTGTGCTCCTGCCAAGGCAGTGCCATGGCCATGAAGATGGTGGTGCCCTACTTAGGTTTGGGCCCCATTCAGAGTCCCCTGGTCACAAGAACATCAACCTGGGGGTCGGCTAGGTGGCCTGGGCACCAGGTTTGGCTGGGATGAAGGCTCCAGCCCCATACAGAAGCTGTGGCCAGGCTGTGCTGGTGGCACCCTGGGCAGGCACTGCTGCCAAAGTCACTGCAGAAGGCTGGATCTGGCTGCATCCCCAGGCCCAGGAAGGGATGCACAGACAGGTCTGTCCCTCCCCGCAGCCTCATCACTTCTGGGCACTGGAGGAGTAACAGCAGTGCCTGCTGTATTCTCCATGAGCGCCGTGCTCCTGCACCCATCTTTGGGCAGTGCAGCTCCTGAGTGCAGCTCTGGGAGTGCAGCTCCTGAGTGCAGCTCCTGGGAGTGCAGCTCTGGGAGTGCAGCTCTCAAGAGTGCAGCTCTCAAGAGTGCAGCTCCTGGGAGTGCAGCTCTGGGAGTGCTGCCGTGCAGGCAGCCGTGCTCTGGTGTGCTGGCCTGGAGTCAGTGCCTGCCTCCCCCCCTGCCCGGTGCCGGTGTGGCCCGTGAGCTGGTGGGGCTGCTCTGCCATCATGGGGCGTGTGGGGAGGGATGCACAGACAGGTCTGTTCCTCCCCGCAGCCTCATCACTTCTGGGCACTGGAGGAGTAACAGCAGTGCCTGCTGTATTCTCCATGAGCGCCGTGCTCCTGCACCCATCTCTGGGCAGTGCAGCTCTCAAGAGTGCAGCTCTCAAGAGTGCAGCTCCTGGGAGTGCAGCTCTCAAGAGTGCAGCTCTGGGAGTGCAGCTCCTGAGTGCTGCTCCTGGGAGTGCAGCTCCTGGGAGTGCAGCTCTCAAGAGTGCAGCTCCTGAGTGCAGCTCCTGGGAGTGCAGCTCTGGGAGTGCAGCTCTCAAGAGTGCAGCTCTCAAGAGTGCAGCTCCTGGGAGTGCAGCTCTGGGAGTGCTGCCGTGCAGGCAGCCGTGCTCTGGTGTGCTGGCCTGGAGTCAGTGCCTGCCCCCCCCCCTGCCCGGTGCCGGTGTGGCCCGTGAGCTGGTGGGGCTGCTCTGCCATCATGGGGCGTGTGGGGTGTCTCGGGGTGGGGGCACAGACCCCCAGATCCTGGGGCTGGTCGGGGGTGCCAGATGGAGCCAGTGGAGCAGCAGGTGTTGCTGCTGGGCGTGCAGCAGCTCTGTGGGGCTGCAGAGCCTGGGCTGGCCCTGCCGGGGAGCTTCATGGCATGGTGTGGGGACAGGGAGCTGCGCCCTTGTCCATGAGAACCGCTGACCAAGTCCCTGGGGCAGGGCTGGTACCGAGCTGCTCGTGGCTGGTACCACAACCCGGGCTGTCGGGACAGGGGCTGCGCCCGTCAGGCTGAGGGTTTGCTGGGCTCAGGGCTTCCCAGGACAGGGCAGAGCGGCAGCAGGGCTGGAGACCTGCCAGGGAACCGTCCCAGGGGGAGAGGGGAGAGGGAGCAGGAGCCGCCGGGGCCGGGGGAGCAGCTGGAGGGGGCAGCACTGGGCCAGCGGAGTTGCGTCGAAGGGGTCAGGGGTGTAGGATGGAGCAGGAGCTGCCAGAGACCCAGCCGGGCAGCACCCCACCGGGGACACTGATCTGGAAACAGGGCCAGGAGCTGTGCCAGCAGCCAGCTGTGGCAAGGGGCTGGGATGGCTGGGGCAGTGGGGAGCACGTTCTGCCCATCCCGGCTGGTGGGGGATGCAGGCAGGGAGCTGCTCTCCAGGGAGGGGATCACAGTCGGCAGAGCCTGCCCGGTGTCCAGGGAGAGATTTGGGGGTGTTGTGGGAAAGGCTGCTGTGGAGATCAGGGGCAGCAGCTGGGCAGGCTCTGCTCTGAGAGCACCGAGGAGCCTGGGGACGGGTCAGCCCCGTGTCTGGGTCACGGGGAGGAGGGGCAGCCGGCCACGTTTAGACCAGAGATGCTGCAGTGAGAGCCCTGAGGCACTTGGCAGAGTGGGACGCCTGTGCCGTGGGGTTTGGTGCAGGCCGTGGGGAGCTGCAGCTGGGACAGAGCCACCAGGGCTGAACAGGCTCAGGCATCCTGGGGCAGGGGGCCCAGCTGTGGGCAGGTCACACGGGGTCTGGCCTGCCTCAATGGGCCGTGCTGGTTGCAGGGGCCCTCATGGGAGCTGGGGATGTGATTGCACAGCAGCTGGTGGAGCAGCGGGGGCTGCACGGGCACCACTGCCCCCGCACCCTGAAAATGATGGCCATTGGCTTCTGCTTTGTGGTGAGTGGGGATGGGATAATGGGATAATGGGGTGATGGGATGGGATGGGATGGGATGGGATGGCTCCTTCAGCAGGGTGGGACTGTGACTTGGGCCATCCTGGTGCCACCTCCAGCAGCCATGGGCAGGGCCAGTTCCGTGGAGCAGGAGCAGCATAGGATGAGCTTGTCTTTGTGGTCCAGAGCTGGAGCAGGGCCATGTAACCTGCCCTGGAGCTCCCCAGCCCTGACCCCTGTGACCAGTGAGGGCAGATGCTGCTCCTCACCCCCTGGCTCCTGCAGGGCCCTGTTGTGGGCAGCTGGTACAGGATCCTGGACTGGCTCATCCCAGGGAACACAAAAGTTGTGGCTGTGAAGAAGGTGATCCTGGACCAGGTTGGTGTGACGTGGGTGAGGGTGTTGTGTGGGACTGGGGCAGTGGGGACAGGACAGTCCCCGTGGCAGGTTTCCAGCCTGCTCTGAGAGCCCAGTGCCTGAGCTGGGCCCAGGCTCACTGCAGCACAGGGCTGGGTGGGCATTATGGCAGAGGCTGCCCGTGGCCAGCCTGGCTCCAAGCAGCACAGGCTCCTCTCTCGCAGGGGGGATTCGCTCCGTGCTTCCTTGGCTGCTTCCTGGCTGTCACAGGGGCCACCAACGGGCTGTCGGTGCAGGAGAACTGGTCCAAGATCCAGCAGGTATGATGTGCTGCTGCTGCCCTGGGCAGCTCTGGGGCCCTGGCAGCTCCTCCCTGTGCTGGCCCTGACGGCTGCTCCCGTTTGTGTCCGTGCCCAGGCCTGGGACCCAGGGCCCTGGGCGTGTTGGGTGCCCGGTGCTGCCAGTCCAAGTACTGGTGCCAGGGCCAGTTCCTCTGGCACAGGTGTCCTGTGGGCGAGTACTGGGGTCCCACCTGGGCCAGACATGGGTGCCATGGGCGTGCTGTCCAGCCCTGCTGCTGGCTGGGTCTCCAGAGCAATTACTGAGATGACTCCCATTAACAGTAATTGCTGGAAACCCGTGTGGACACTGAGTCAGCGTGTCCAGCGTGAGTCACTGGGGAGTGGGTGCCCACCTGCCACAGGATGAGGCATGCTGGGGTGGTCGTGTGGCTGCCAGGAGCGGCAACACCAGCCTGTCTCACTGATGCTGCCTGCAGTGCCTGTGAACGGCCCCAGCCTGGCTGGAGCTCTGCCTGAGTGCCACCACCCAGGGTTCATTCCTCTGCCTGGGGGCACCCGGTCACCAGCCTGCTACACCTGGACTGCCAGCACGTGCCCCTCACCCTGCCCCAGAGTGCAGGAAGGAGATCCTGGGGCAGGATCATGTCACCTCTGCTTCCCTCAGGCTCTGTGCAAGACACAGCCGGGGCATGGGGTGCTCCGAGGCACCCTAAGGGCACACGTGAACACATCGTGGGCACGGCCAGCACTCCGAGCGCTCCATCCATCTTCCCCTGCTGCATCCTGACCAGCTCGTGCCATGGACCTTGCCTTGCCTTCCCCAGGGAACCCTGCCGTGGCTGGTGATTCGTGCGGGCTGCGGCTCCCGGAGCCCTGGCCTGGAAGGGGGTGATGGGCTGGGCTGGCAGCAGCGCTGGCAGCACCTTCCCCCCTGGCTTGGGGCGCATCCGCCTCTCCCCACGCAGAGGAAGCGTCAGCAGAGCATCCATCACCCCGTCCTGGGCTGCTGGCCAGCGCCACCAGGAGCCCGGCCTCCCGGCTGAGTCACGGCCAGGCTGCGTGGGGACTCGTCCTGCTGCCACGGGACAGGGATGTGACACGGCCCTGGCTGGGGCGCGGGGACACGGCAGCTCCTCGGGCTCCCAGAGCAGCGGGCCCTGCTCAGCGCCCTTCTCCATTTCGTGGCACCCAGGAGGGGTCTGGGGTGCCCTGAGCTGGCAAAGGGCTCACAGCCCACACTGGGGGACAAGCCATGTGCCTGGCTATGGCACAAAGTGAGGATGGTTCTGGTCACCCTCTCCCTGCCTCCCTCATGGCTGTGGGAGGGCATGGCCAGGGCTGCAGGGGCTCTGTGCCCAGCAGTGTGGAGCTGGGACCCGTGGCAAGGATGGGGGCTCTCTGAGTGCTCACACCTCCTTTTTCTTCCAGGACTACATGGATGCCCTGATGACCAATTACTGTGTGAGTGCTGGCTCATCTGTGTCCCTGTCCCCTCCTCCGTGGGGCTGCCGTGGCTCTGTGGGACACCCTGAGTGCCAGGCAGGGGTGGGTGTGGGGAGGGGACCCTGGCAGGCTCCTCACTGCTCCTCCCCTTCTCTGCCCAGATCTGGCCACCCGTGCAGATTGCAAACTTCTACTTCGTGCCTCTGCAGCACAGGTAGTGTTGTGGCCTGGCGCCCACTCCCTGCCCCCTGAGCTGGCAGCTGCAGACCCTGTCCCCTCTGTCCACAGGCTGGCTGTTGTCCAGTGTGTTGCCATCATCTGGAACTGCTACCTGTCCTGGAAGGCGAATCGGATGTGAGGCAGAAGCCGTGCCCCGTGCCCGTGCCCCGTGCCCGTGCCCAGCCTGTGCTCTCAGCTGGCAGTGGCACGCGTGGCGTGGGCAGGCTGGGACACGCAGGGGCCTGCAGCAGCCACCCTGCTCTTCTCTCAGGGGAACACCAGCCCCTGTGGCCACAGCCCCGCTGCCCCAGGGACAGGATGGTGCCAGGACAGCCTGGATCTGCTCTGACCGTGCTGTGCAGCAGCTCTGCCCACGATGCACTTCTCTGTCCATGCTCAACCATTTCCGAGCCCTGCACACAGGGTGCTCCTGCCCCGAGTGGCGCTCTGACCTTCCCCATGGCACATCCCCAGGGAAAAGAGGGGTGGGAATGGAGCAGGGCTGGCCCTGGGCTGGCTGTGCCACGGGCACAGAGCTGGGGTCGCTGCAGGCTGGGGATGCTCCTGCTGAAAGCAGGGTTTGCTGTGGCTCTGCTGTGGACAGTCACAGCAGCAATAAACTGCTCTTCACTGCTGGCTCCCATGGCCCTGGGGCTTGTGGCCCAGCATGCCCCCAGGCCCTGAACATCCTGTTCCAGTGCACTTGTTCTGTTCTGGGTCAACAGGTCCACTCTGCCTCATCTCAAGGCACCGAGCATGGGGGCAGGGACTGCAGCCTGCTGGGGTGGTCTGCCCCAGGGGCTAGAGAGGGGAGGGGACTCTGACAGACGGTGGAAGGTGGTTTAGGGGGTCATCAGGGCCTACTGAAGCTGTTCCATGCGCTGTGATGGTGTCTCCACAGCTGCAGAGCACTGAAATGAGGTCGATGGAGCCGCAGTCCTGATGCTGGGTGCGGAGTCCCCCCAGAGTCAGGGCTTGCTTGATGCAGGGCTGCGCATCTGGGGAGGGTTCAGGAAGGCTTGGGGTAGGGCTGGGGCTGGGGCTGGGCCAGGGCCACAATCCACCTGTGCCACCTGGGCCAGGGCCACAATCCACCTGTGCCATGTCCAACACAAGCCTGCCTGTCATGCCAGAGAGAAGCCCCAGGGAGGTGCCACTGCCTGCACTGCTGCCCCTGGGGATGTGTCCATGCCCTGGGGCTGTGTGTCCATGCTCTGAGGCTGTGTGTCCATGCTCTGGGGCTGTGTGTCCATGCTCTGGGGCTGTGTGTCCATGCTCTGGGGCTGTGTTCATCCCCTGGGGCTGTGTGTCCATGCTCTGTGTGTCCATGCTCTGGGGCTGTGTGTCCATACCCTGGGGACGTGTCCATGCCATGGGGATGTGTGGGATGTGTGTCCATGCTCACCCTAGGGTGGCAGTGAGCACACACAGTGTCCCACACACACGCTGTCCAGTTCTCACAGTGTCCAGCTCTCACAGTGTCCCTGCCCAGCACATCCCAACCAGGAGCTCCAAGTGGAGCTGGTGGCACCGAGTGGCTCCTCTCAGCTCTGTGGAGCCCTGAGCCCCTCACCTGCACTACTGCAGCCCCACACAGCTGGGCAGAGCCATCCCCACGCTGCAGCACCACCTGGGCTCTGCCAGCGTGGCCTTCATGGAGGGCATTCACCATCCTCATCCTCCCCAGGGTCTGGCTCTGTGCTGACCCCAGCTTTGGGGCTGCTCCAGCCGGGTGGATACGACCTGGAACAGGGGAGGCAAATCCTGCACAGGCCTGAGGGGAGAGGCAGGGGAAGGGAGGGGATGCAGCTGCAGCCCTCTTCCCCCCAGCACAGCACTGGGGCTCGGTGACGGCACCATGCACGGGTGGCAGCAGTACCGGGGGCCTCGGGCTCTGCGTGGGGCTCCAGCTCTCTACAGGCAGCAGGGTGGGTGCTGTGCGTGGCAGGAATTTGCAGCTCTGAGGTGCTGAGCTCTTGCAGCTCCCTCTGGGGGTGCAGGAGGCTCTCTGTCAGCAGTGAGAGAGCTGCGGGCATGGCCGGAGCCACGTGGAACGAGCCACTTGTCCCCAGCAGCAGGCGCCCCAGCGTGGGGCTGCCAGGGCTCGGGGGGTGAGCCCAGCCCCTGCTGCGGGCTGTGCCCTGCCGCTGCAGGCAGCGGTGCCAGGTGCCAGCCTTCGTGCCGGATCACGTCACGGGGGCACGACACCGTGTGCTGCTGCTGCGGGCAGGGCCGTGCCCCACAGCCCTGTGCCCCCCGGGGTGGGACACGCCGAGCGAGGGCCGGGCTGCGCCTCTGTGCCCGCTCTGTGCCCGCTCGGTGCCCGCTCTGTGCTCCGCGCTGTGCCCCGCTCTGTGCCCGCTCTGTGCCCGGCTCTGTGCCCGCTCTGTGCCCGGCTCTGTGCCCGCTCTGTGCCCGGCTCTGTGCCCGCTCTGTGCCCGGCTCTGTGCCCGCTCTGTGCCCGGCTCTGTGCCCGCTCTGTGCCCGGCTCTGTGCCCGCTCTGTGCCCGGCTCTGTGCCCGCTCTGTGCCCGGCTCTGTGCCCGCTCTGTGCCCGGCTCTGTGCCCGCTCTGTGCCCGGCTCTGTGCCCGCTCTGTGCCCGGCTCTGTGCCCGCTCTGTGCCCGGCTCTGTGCCCGCTCTGTGCCCGGCTCTGTGCCCGCTCTGTGCCCGGCTCTGTGCCCGCTCTGTGCCCGGCTCTGTGCCCGCTCTGTGCCCGGCTCTGTGCCCGCTCTGTGCCCGGCTCTGTGCCCGCTCTGTGCCCGGCTCTGTGCCCGCTCTGTGCCCGGCTCTGTGCCCGCTCTGTGCCCGGCTCTGTGCCCGCTCTGTGCCCGGCTCTGTGCCCGCTCTGTGCCCGGCTCTGTGCCCGCTCTGTGCCCGGCTCTGTGCCCGCTCTGTGCCCGGCTCTGTGCCCGCTCTGTGCCCGGCTCTGTGCCCGCTCTGTGCCCGGCTCTGTGCCCGCTCTGTGCCCGGCTCTGTGCCCGCTCTGTGCCCGGCTCTGTGCCCGCTCTGTGCCCGGCTCTGTGCCCGCTCTGTGCCCGGCTCTGTGCCCGCTCTGTGCCCGGCTCTGTGCCCGCTCTGTGCCCGGCTCTGTGCCCGCTCTGTGCCCGGCTCTGTGCCCGCTCTGTGCCCGGCTCTGTGCCCGCTCTGTGCCCCGCTCTGTGCCCGCTCAGTGCCCTGCTCTGTGCCCGCTCTGCCCCGCCGATCCGGCCCGGCAGCATAGGGGCTGGGTGACAGCTCAGCCGCACTCGGGGGGCATGCAGGGCACTTGGGGGGCTGCGGGCAGCATGCAGGGCACTCCGGGGGCATGCGGGGCACTCGGGGGGCTGCGGGCAGCATGCAGGGCACTCCGGGGGCATGCGGGGCACTAGAGGGGCTGCAGGGCACTCGGGGAGCTTGCAGGGCCCTCTGGGGGCTGCCCGCAGCGGTGTGGAGCGCTCGGGGGGAATGCCAGCAGTGTGGTGCACTCGGGGGGGCTGCCAACAGTAGTGTGGAGCCCCAGCAGCCACCTCACCATTTGGCAGCGGTGCCGGTGCCCCGACGGAACACCCTGCATCCAGCACGGCGCTGCCAGCTCCGGTGCCTTCGTTCTATGACTCACAGGACTTGGCCGGTGCTGCCGCTGCGCTCGGGGCGTCTGCGGCCTCGGCCCCGCGCTGTGACCTCGGCACCGCCCGCTCTGCCCGGGACACCGAGCCACAGCCGGGCCGGGGTCCCCCCCGTGACCGTCCTGTCCCGGAGCTGCCGGTGCTCCCGGTGTCCCCACCTCCGCCCAGGGGTCTCCCCGCCGCCCCGGTCCCTGCTTGGTCGCCGCTGCTCGGCGCTGCTCCGTTCCGCCGGGAACGCGAGGGCTCCACGCCGAGAAGCCGCGGCGCATCCCGGTGCAGCTCACGGAGGGCTCACCGGGAGCTCGCCTGTATGGCTCACCGGTCCCGGTGCCCCAGCGCGTCCCGGCCGTTCAGCACCGCGGACAGCGGCGGAGAATGAGGCTGGAGATGCGGCAGAGCCGGGAGAGGGACAGGGAAACCGGGGGACCGGGGAAACGAGGGTTAGCACGGCCCAAGGCACCTGCTCTCACCGGTCCCGGCCCCGCCGTGCCTCTTTGGTGGGCGTCAGACAAGAACCGGAGCCCGAGACCGGCGAGAACGGGCTCTGCCGCTCCCCCCCCTTCCCTCAACCCCGTCCCGCCGCCGGGTGCCCGCTCCCCGCCGCTCCGGTGCCCCCTGTCCCCCGCCCCCGCCGCCCGGTGCGTGCCCGGCGCTGACGTCAGCCCGGGCTCCCGGGCCGATATAACCCCGGGCCGCGCCGCCGGCTCTGCTCCCGCGGGACGGATCGCGCTCGCTGCGCCGCCAGCACCGGCAGGAACAGGGCACGGGCACAGCGCACCGGGTACGGGACGGGGCTTGGGAACCGGGCAGGGGCACCACCGGGGCCGGGGCGCGCAGAGGGGACGGAACGGGTTGGAACGGGGCGGCGGGGGCTCCGCGCGCGGGACGGTCCCCGCGCCGCCGGGGCCGCGGTTCCCGTCGGGCCTCCGCCGCCGCCCCGGTGTCTGCTGTGGCGCTGAGCCCCTGCCCCGCAGGTGCGGAGCGACCGAGGATGCGGCGGGCGCTGCTCACCCTCCTGCTGCTGCTCGCCCGCCCGCCGCCCGCCGCCGCCCGCCCCGCCACCACCGACGGCTCCATCCTGGCGGCCGGCACCGGGGATCAGGACCAGCCGCTCTGGCCGCCGCTGGCGCCGCCGCCGCCGGGGCCGTGGCGAGGGCGGCGGGACGAGCCGCCGCTCTCCATCGACCTCACGTTCCACCTCCTGCGGCACCTCCTGCTGCTCGCCCGCGCCCAGAGCCAGCGCGCCCGCGCCGATTCCAACCGCCGCATCCTCGACGCCGTGGGGCGCTGAGCCCCCCGGACCCCCCGGAGACCCCGAACCCCCCGGAACCCCGGGGCTGCACCGGCCTCCAGCCGCCGCCTCGGCCTCTGCACTGTCGGGCGCTCGGCACCAACACCGGCACGGGCTGAACCCGCCCCGGCCCCAGCGCCGCGGCGAGCGGGAGCGGAGCCGGCCCCGGGACCGGGACCGGTCCGCGCCGGTTTTGTAATAAAACGTGGTGGAAACCCGAGGCGTGAGCGAGTGCGGGGTGGGGGCAGCTGGGGCTGTGCAGGACCAGGGCAAACTGGGAACGTGCTCACTGGGAATGGGGAAGGGGGGAATAGGCTCAGTGGGAATGGGGAGAGGGAGTGGGGGTCACAAGGAACTGGGAATGGGCTCATCAGGAATGAAGAAGGGGCTCGCCAGGGATGGGGATACAACTCACTGGGAGTGGTGGAATGGGTTCACCAGGACGGGACAGAGAGACTCACTGGGAATAGGGAAAGGCACACTGGAAGGGGACTAAGGGCTCAGGAGGCAGGGTGAGCTGGGCCAGGGCTGGGTAGGAGCAGCTGGGCCAGCAGCACACACCCCGCAGCAGTGGGAGCAGGGCTCTGTGTGTTCTGGGTCAGGAGGTTCACACCGGGTTCTGCAGGGGGGGAGATGCTCACAGCCCCCCAGGTGTGGGAGCAGCAGGAAGCAAACGGGGCAGAGGGATGGGAACAATGGGTCCTTACCACCCGGGAGCCAGGCACAGGGGCCTGCACCCCCTGCCCACGGGTGGGACATGAGCAGGGAGGCAGTCCCTCCCCAGGATGGTGGGCGAGGCTGGGAGCTGCGGGAGGGACAGGCACAGGCCCTTTGTGGGAGGATTTGGCCATACCCAGGTGGCAGCTCCAGGAGTGGGGGAAACCCCTGTGGGACACTCGGGGCTGCTGAGTGGGTCAGGACTGGAGTGGTGGGCGGGGAGGGGGCACTGTGGTGGGCTGTGTTTCTTGGCCCTCAACCAAGAGGACAGGGATGAAGCCTTCTGAGGCAGCTGGGGGAGGTTCAGGCTCCTGGAGGGTGGCCCTGGTCCTCACCGGGGCCTCCAGCTTGGCCTGTGGCTGTGGATGGGGCTGGATGTCCCTTCCCAGCTAAACCAGCCAGAAATTCCTAGATAACATCCCAACACCTGCTGGAAGGGAGCAGGGCAGGGCTGTTCTGACGGTGTGCCTGGAAGGGCTGCGTGGGGATGTGGCAGCAGGGGGGTCAGTGCTCGGGGTGCAGGCAGCACAGGGTGGGCAGCCCTCCCACTTCACAGCAGCTGCTTTCAGTGTCCCCGTGGCTCTGGCAGGAGGCTGCCCCAAGGGACAGAGGAGTTGGGGAGCACAGCCTTTGGGAACGAGCTCGAGGCTGGAGATTCCCCCCTCCAGGCCCTGCTGCAGCTGCTTCTGCTGTGGCCACTGGGACTCAAATGGGGAAATTCCCCAGAACATCCGTACCCTGGAGCTGGAAGGCCGTGCTGGCGAGAAGGATTGCAGTGGGACAATCCCTGCCAGGAGATATTTACACCAGGCTGGACACTGGCTTGGACAGCCTGCTTCAGCCAGCCCCGAGAGCAGGGCTGGGGCTGGTGGGGACCTGGGGCCTCCTGCCCCTCACACAGCCATGGGTGCCTTCCCAGCTGGAGGGACACAACCCCTCTGGGCAGCCCGTTCCAGGCACCCTGTGTGATCAACCTCGCTGCAAAAATACCCCAAACCTTTGGAGGCCACTTTGTGCCTGTAGCTGCTGCTCCTGTCACTGGGCTCCACTGGGGAGAGCCTGGCTCCCTCCTCCGTCCCTCCATCAGGCAAGTGCACACCCAGGCACCCCAAACATTCCAGTTCCTCCTCATGCAGCAGGTGCTCCAGTCCTTTGGCACTGCTTTGGCCCTTTCCTGGACTCCAGATCTCACACCCTCCCTGCTCCAGGAAGCCCCAGCCTGGCCTGGATGCTGCACCCACCGCTCTCCACACTTCACAGAGGGGAGAGCTCCTCCCTGCCCTCATCCTCCCCAGCCACGGGCTGTTCTCCACCTGGATCCACTGGGAAGGGATGTCCCTGTCAGTGCCACCACTGAGGGTTTTGTTGTCCCTCAGCAGCCGTAGTTGGACACCTGTGATTAGTAATTACATCGAGAACCTCGTAGGCTCGGCTAATCTTTTCTAAGGAAAAGGGAAGAGCATCCCAAGAGCAGTGGGCTGGCTGGATGGATGAGAGGCACCAGGAGTGTGGTCAGCAGGACTGAGCAGGACCAGGGGAAAAGGTAATTCTGGCAACAGGAGATCACAGCCACTGACCCACTGACCACCCACTCAGAACAGACCCCAACTCAAATGGAGGAAAGAGCTGCACCTGTGGGGTGGTCAGAGGAGGAGGGAGGTACACCCAGCCAGGATGAGCTGGAATCCTAATTAATATCAGAGTTCAGTAACTGGTAACCAGTGAGTGCTGGTTCTTTGCTCAAGTGCATGAAGGTGTAAAGCCCTGATGCTCAGGGAGCAGCCCTGGGGAGACCCAGAGCCCCTGGCTCTGCTCTGACTGGAATAAAACCAGAAATCCTTGCCTTGATTTGTGGGTTGTCAGTGCGCTCCAGGAAGCCCACAGCTGGTTTTGATGGCCCAGATGGGAGAGCCAGGGTGCCCTGAGCAGCCACTCCAGACAAAGGGGCTTGGCAGGACGAGCTCCTGCACCCCAGCCTTGTGCTCGGGTACTCTGGGTGACCAGCCCTGACACCAGGACCACCCAATGGCACAACACCTTCTAGGGGTATTTCCTCTGTGAAGGGGTGGTTGGAATCGCCAAGAAACAGGATTTTGGTTTGGCCTCTGCCTAAGCTGAAGAAAAAAAATATTTTGTTTCTACAATTTGGTGACGCACATCTTGGATTTTTGATGCTTGCACAGGTTTTCACATGCAGAGCTGGTGATGTGAAAACTGGGGTTTGGATGTGAGCCTTGGGATGGTGTAAGAAACACTGGAAATTCCACAACTGGAAGGTTCCTCTGCTTCTGTAGAAATTCCACTTTGCTCTGCTCCAGGATGCATCCTGAAGGGTTAGGGCAACCCGATGACTCAAGATGTATTGAAAAGTTACTGTAATGATTGGTTACCTCATTCTGAATTAGATGATGAAAAAAGGCTGGAAAACTACAGGTCTTTAAAATATAACACAATTTTACAGTTTATGTTACTTTGTAAGAGGCAAAATGAATGGGATAAAGTCCCTGATGTAGATCTGGTTTTCACCTTAAGAAATAATTATTAAAGCAAGAAAAAAATGTGGTTTAGTAGATTCAAAAGTATCAAAATGGCATATATTCTTTGGGAAATGAAGAAAAGAGGATAAGGAGAAAGATACTTGTCATATGGGACAGGAAGATAAAAGGGAGCAAAACCTGAAGTCCAGCTTGGCAGTTCCTCCCACAGAGGGAGGGAAGCTGGAAGGGGGCAGGGGGTCTGGCCGTGAAACCAGGGCTGTGACACGTCCCCTGCTTCCAGCAGCATCAGGGGAAGGTGGCTGGGAGCTGCCAGCCCCTGCAGGGCAGGGATGGACCGGGAGAGGAGGGGATGTGCAGGTGCTGGTCACTCAGACTTGCTGAATCAGGGGCAGCCAGCGGGGTCGTGTCACAGAAATGCTGATGGAATTAAATCAGTGTGATTAAAGCCATGGTGCCCGCCCATGAGCCAAACCAGGAGGGCATCCAGCCTCTCCTGGAATATTTGTCTGCCCGTGGGGAACGCAGGGCAGTTTAAAAAAGGCTTGAGAAGAAGGAGTTAGGAAAATAGGATTCGATCAAAAGGTTCATGCCATCCCAAATCTTCACAGATTTCATCCTAAGAATGACCCAAAGTGGGATCTCCTTCAGAGTGCTGGTGAGATTCGATAGAATTAAATTAGAAAATTATTTTATTGGGATTCTAGGAGGAAGTGAAGGAACTGAAACGCCCTGCCACGCTGAAGAGGGAGCAAAGGAGCCTCCACTGGCTTTGGATGGAAGATTGTGTGAGGAGCCTCCCAAATGGGAGGATTCAATCCAGCAAGGGCAGGAAGCAGGATGCTGTTTAACAGGCTTTTTGTTGGGCAGCTGGCACCAGGCACTAGAAAGAAACCCCGGAACAGAGGAGAAGTGGAGGGGATGGTTATTTCCCAAGAGATGCCTCTGAGGAGAGGGAAGAGAAGGAGAAGAGCCAAGAGAAATTACCGAGCCCACTGCCAGGGCAGGCAATTCCAGGGCTGAGGGTGGGCATGGACACCCTCCCAAAAGCAGGAAGGGCACTGGGAAAGGAGCGTCCCTGACTCACAGACAGACAGAAGGAAAAATCAGAGGATGCAGAAATTGGGCTGGACCGAAGGGGAGCAGATGCTTCTCCTATTTCCCTGGCCAATCCTTCGATTCCAGTTAAACTGGGGAATGAAACAATGGATTCTCTAGAGGACCATGGAGCAGTTCCTTCTGTGGTTACTGTGAAGAAGCTTTCAGCAAACACAGGGAGGAGATTCCTCAGGAGAGGTAATCCCTCAGACCCTTTCACGTCCCAGGGAATTCAGAGTGATCCCATCACCCTCTCTGCATGCCAGATGTCCCTTGGCATCGCTGGGGAGGGATTTGCTGCCCCAGCTGTGCAGGGCTTTGCTGGCAGGATGGAGATGGGGTCACTGCCACGAAGGCACTGGAAAACCATCCTCTGCTTCCAGAAAACCAGACTGGGCTCTCACTTGGGCCCTGGCAGCTCCCTCCAGCTGAGGAGAGGAAATAGACATTTATATAAACTCAAAACCTGCCTTTGGCACTGCCCATGCTCATGGAACAGTTTGGGAACAGCAAGGAGGAACTCCCTCACAGGGGAGCTCAGAAAAGTATGTAGCTGGAATTCCAAAGACATGGAAGTAAAAAGTTCTTCAGTCAAAGAACATCACAATAATGCACTGCAAAGCCCCCCAGAAAAAGAATCCAAATACTGAAAAGGGAAATGGAAGAGCAGATCCAGCAGTGGAAGAAGCTGCATTGAGGAAACCAAATTGTGAAGGAGCTTTGGTTCCACAAACCTGTGTAGATTCACCTCCAACAAATTATACCAAAGGAGAGAAACAATGAGGGGAACAGCTTAACTGTACTAAAGATAAAGA